TCTTTGAGGTTTGAAGAAAATACCGTATTTATTTTTTTGGTTTAACAGAATAAATAAGAACTATTTAAGAAGCAACTAAGAAAGTGTCAACTAACCTGTTCCATTAGAAAAATAATTTTAGATTTGTAGCAGGTCTGACAAATTAGATTGATTTTTGATCATTGCAGAACAGAATTACACTAAGGACTGTATCGTCAGTCGCACTTACAATTATAGGATACCTTGATTCTCATATTTTCCTAGTGTTTCGCGTTAGCGCTCTATTTTGAGGTTATGTTAGAAATATCTATTTGCATCAGATTGTTCATGATTTTGATTTATATCATCTGTTATATCGGCCTAAAATTCCCCACAATTCAAAAAGAAAACATAGCCTCACAATAGGAGAGCGCTGACGCTGACACGGTGCAGTAGAAATCTAGAAATACCCCAACCCCAGCCCGAAGAAGAGAAAAGACTATGAAAATTAAGGTAGCCATAAAGGCCTCCTACAATTATTGTAGGAACGACTGACGATACGGTCCTTAATGAATTCTTCGAAGACATACATTAAATTAGGATATGCTTATTAATTACAAATATCGGGTAAATATGCAATTCACTTGACTACCCTACGAAATAATCTTTCGTTTGAACTGGTTATATGCTCAACACGTGTTTAGAGCTAATATGCCAGGCTTGTAATTGTCGCACCTCGTGCGTCGCACCATTCTGCCAGCTGTGTTCGATAGGTGAAGCAGTGGTTGAAAAACGGCGGCAACTCTTAATTCGGGATACCTATTAGGACATTCCAAATAACCCCGGCCATGAATGTAGTGAAGCAGGCCATTAAATTCCAATTGAACGATTTCGAAGAACCTTCTCCAGTTTCTATGTACGCCTTTAGCAGGATTAAAATACGCTGATTCTGGTTGATGATGTAGTGCTACGTTAGTGCCTCGTTGTGTCTCATAGAACGTCGACGATGTCGCTGTTCTCCGAATTCCTTCCGTTTTGCTCCTGCAAAATACAATCCCTTTATCCTGTACAAAAGGAACACTGACTCGGAGATAATCGGTGGAAATTTCATAAGCGCTTCAGGCTTTCCTCTTCACGTATTACTGGTATGTGGCTGGTTGTGGGATTAGGGCTCCATTTATAAGTCTGAACGAGATTTAACGTTTTCGTGTAAATCTCGAATAAGCTATTAGAAGGTGAATCAATCTTTATTATTTTAAAGTAGGTAACTAAATTATTCGCTTTAATTAAAATGAATTTTCTGGGTCCAATTCAATTGAAAGTAATATACTATTAAACTAATTTGCTTGAAACTAGCAAACCATGTACCTGTTTTATTAAATTGTGTATTCACTTTAGGTAATTTAGTTTATGTAGAAAAGGCACACTTAAAACATCCAAACATTTTAATAAACACAGTTAAACTGCTTATTTGAATCTCGTACTTGGCAGGACTCTGCCCTTCATCCATGAATGATCGGGAGGATGCCTGTTACGCGTTTCGAACACCTCATTTGTGATTTTTGTGATGAACTTCGTATTCCAATGTTTCCATTGTTAGTGTAGCAGCTGTGAAGTTATGCTGAAACACTCAAGCATAAGGCGTTTAGTGGTCCATAACCATGGTTGGAATATTTCTTCCTCTCAATGAATCACTCTGTGTCTGTATCTATTTTTAACTAGACAAACACTTTTACGTACACACATTAAACAAATTTGATAAGTATAAATTGTTTTACTTAGAGCAGGTAAACTTCATTAATTTTAAATAGATCGTTGTACTAAATCTAAGTAAAAGGATTTATAAATTTAAATTAACAGTATACTCAATCTAAGTAAACGGTGCAATAATTAAAGTAAACTTCTTTAGAAATCGCAGCTTAATTGAGCGAATTGAAATTGTTAGCTGTCACCTAGTCGGATTGATTAAAATTTTATTGTTCTGATTAAATTTTTGTCTCAGTGTGGTTGCGTTAAGTTGAGATTGGCTGGTATAGTCAAATAGTTTTGCTTTATTGGTAGTGCATTTTGACATTTCTTATAGTTACAATGGCGATTATTAAATTATTATGTACAACATACATATATCTTCGAGAAAAGAGTCATTCAAACACGCCCATACAATAAGTCCAGAGACATTTTTTCCCAGCCCTACCGGTAGTACCGTCCATCTGGCAACGTCGCCCTTCCCCCCTGCCTATACGATGCATCAGACGCGGTAGTGCGGTACCGCGGTAGAAATAACAAGACGCTCAACGAGAGCAGCATGCTCGCTGGTGAACCCAGAGAACAGAAACCGAGACGCGTATCGAGAACGTTTCTATCATTTTTCGATGCCGAATTGAGATTTAGTGAGCATGTCAAAAATTTTGTTAAAAAAACTTATCTGAGGCAACTTACCTCGATAGCAAACAAAACTACGTAAAAATCTAAATTTCGCCTGAGTGTTATCTAATTAAATTATTTTATTTATATTTTATGTTTTCCTTCTTTAGACCATCCAACTAAACATACAATACAAATCATCCAAAACAATTGTGCTCGCCTTATCTTTACGCTACCGAAAGTCAAGTATCTGCAAAATACCGTAACACTTACGTGGTTCAGAACGAATGACTTTGTAAAATACTATTATTCAGTGTCTATCCATTAATTATTTCTACCGTCAAAACCTGAATATCTTGGAACAAAAATTATTTTTAATAATAAAGACACATAACTGAAACAAAATGATTGTGATACCGCAGCATATTTCAATGTTATTCAAACGTGGGTTCTCATACATAGTGTATAATGCTTTCATCACTTACAATTCAATAGTACAAACATACAAACAATATTCTGCATCAGGACAAAAAAGATGTGTAACTGTTGGAAATTAGTCCAGTGGCTGCGGAGCTACGGGACAAAAAAAAACGAATAAAAATATAGCAAATCTCAAACTACTACCTTACTAATTTGTTACTCCGTCTATGATAGTTCTCTGAATATATCGTCGTAGATTGACTCGGTACTTATGATACTACAAGACGTAGATTCTGAAGATGGATTCAGAGGCTGTGGAAATAAAATCGCTGGAACATATTATTACAACGTTTCAGAGATTCCTGCTCATTTTCAGACATTGTTTGGAGGGGATGAACATTGTAGGCTGGAAGCTGTAAACGGTAAATGGTTGTAAATTGTTGCATGCGTGGTGTTAGTGAAATATCTTTTAGTATTAAGCTGCTGATCTCAGTGACAATATTACCTGATACACATATTAAGTGACACATATTTTCCCTACATTTACCATGGAAACAAATATAGATATATGATAGATCTGCTTGATATAGTTTGATATGCAGAGGTCGAGAGGTAAGTGAAACTACCTGATCGCGATTCGATTTCGCCTTTTGAAACGATTTGATTCATCCCGTTTCTTTGAAACCTCAAACGAAGTCGTAGAAAGTATATAGTCAATCTATTTGGTGCCATATCATATTGTTTTCGGGGGTCAAAAATGGCATATTTTGAACTTTTCTTAAAAATTGAATGGCTTAATTCTATTAACTTTAGAGGAAAGTTCATATTAGCCTTTTTGTTCAAAACAACCCAAAATATTTAAAAAAAGACTGTCCAAATCAAAGAAAGCAATTTTTAGAATTTGTCTAATGAAACTGTTTAAAAAAATTTCGAAGTAATATTGGGCCTGGCAACATGCAGATTCCTTAAAAAGGACCCAAAAATGCTAATGACTCGATAAAGATTTGAGGCAGAAGTCTCCAAAAGTTCTCATTTTTTACACCGAAGGATGAGGAGCTTAAAGAAACCTTGTTAATCTGAATTGCACAAGGTTAGTAGATCTCTATACAGTACGGACAAATAGCAGTTGTATCGGCCAGTTCTGGATGTATAAGCAAGAGAGGTCTTCTTACAGTTTGTGTAAGCATATAATCCATGGCTATAATAGTGCTGCTCTTCTATATCCTTTAAAAACGCCATCATTTTCAAGGCTGTTCATTATTAACTGTTACACATTAACGAGAATAGTGTAAATATAGAGCACTTAAAGATGCCGACCAAAATAATGACATCACTGTCATGTCGTTAATAAAATGTTATTAATTAATATCAATCTAAAAGATATTAGACTTCGTGGGAGCTTAACAATATATATGGAACTCAACGAGGAACACTTGAAATTTGAAGGATGGAAAGTGATTGAAGCTGTTTTTTCAAAGGATTCTATTATTTTTGTGAAATTAATAATATATAGTTAGAAAAGTTATCAGCTGTCGTGGAGTCTAGATTGCGATATAGGTTATTAGCTTGGGGTGGAGTTACCGTTCATTTAGCAAAACTTGAGGTATTAGGAAGAGAATATCTAAGAATAGTTTATAACAAAAATAGACTTTGTCTGTCTGATCAGCTGTATAGAAATGCAGAAACTCTTGACCTTCAGCAGTTCTTTTCGTTCAGTATATTGGTATATCAATTTAAAAACAAACATACGTTAGTACCGATGCAATATACTTATTCGATCAGGAACAAAATTGATAAAAAAGCAGGACTCCTTTGTCTACTAAACAAATAGGACTAAGATGCTATACATATCTCGCCAGTTGAAAAGTTACTTGAGATGTATGCTTTATCCTGGAAATCACATTAATTTGCAAATTTTCCGAATTTAAAAAATGAGAGAGATCAAATAAAAAAATCCCTGGTTGGTGAAGGGACAGCTAACAGGTGAGAAAATAGGCTACAGGTTGGAATATTTATGAAACGTGAAAAGGTTATTGAACTCTACATTATTTTTTATTTCAGGTCATTTAAATTTTATAGAAATTTATTTTCCGATGTCAAGTAGGAAATACAAATCAGCGTCTATACATATGTGAGGTACTGTGAAAATGTTTTGCGTGTGATGCGTCATTCCTATGAGCGGAATGAATTATTTGCACACTAGAAACTATTTAGTCAGCAAGTTCGTACGTTTTGTCAGTTTTTTTTTAATTATATAGGTTTTTCACGTAATAACCGTGCGGTTCTGCTTGATGCTCAAGCCTTTGTATCAATCTGTACGCCCTCAGTAGATAACTCCATGGCTTGTTTCACAAACCGACGAATACGAGTATATTGACTGTCAATATGACAGATCTCTCAGTCAATCACACACCTTCGTCAGCTCACCATCTCCAAAATTCTAGTACATTTCTTCTTCAATAAGCACTCCTCCAACGCAACTGCAAAATGTCAGAAAAATGGATACCGAGCGTGTTCGACAAGAAGTTCGGTCCTGGAATTCTGTCGCATTACCCGCCTGGAATGCACCCCCTGGCGTGGCGGTACTACAAAAAGAACTATGCCTGCATCCCGTTGGTACTCATTTCCTTGTATGATTATGCTTTCGTGGCATTTGCCTCCATATACGGTCAGTATATTATAAATTACTCTTTTATTACAATAAAAAACTTGTATCTTCGGCCCGACCCAGGTATTAACGAATTTTTATTACTAGGAGAAACATTTAAGAAATTGTTGAAACATACTTTGCAGAAGATCCGGATTAGAAGCGACCTTTACCTATATGTGATGGATTAAAGGTATATGAAATCAATCAAAATCAAAAATTGAATAACTTTTTATTAAAAGTTGCACTACTAAGCTTAACGAATAAATTTAATTCCAACCGAAATCATAAAGCCTATAGAATATGGAAATGTTGGGTTATGTATTTTTTCTTGGCATAACTACTGGGTTAGCAGATATAAAAAGGTATGTTGATACTAGTTAATTGCACCAATATGTTTAATGAATAAATCTTATATCAAAATAAGCACCGTTGTATTGTGAACACGATGCTATAGGGTTGGTAGGAGGGAAATTTTAGCGCGAATGGAAACTTTTGACAAAGAGGTCCCAGCTACGTATCCCATGTGATAGAAGAGAACGTATGTAAGGGATTTAGCCTTACTTTTTTGTTGTGATTGATATAGAAAAAAAGTTGTAAATGATTTATTGATCAGCTGGGCCATAAATAAAATAAGATTGTAACATAGTGTTACAATACGTGCGGCAGATTACATTTTGAGTTTTGCCATTTGTTGTCAAATACACGATATTACAATATTTTGTTTTATTTAATGTCTAATGCTCAATAAATCGGTTAATACAATTTTGTGCGCTGAGTTTATCTTCTTTTCTATAATAACAATAACAAAAAAGCTCGGCTAAATCCCTTATATGTGTCCTCTTCTATCGCACGCGATAGATAGCTGACCTCTTTGTCGTAAGCTCTACTTCATTCAAATTTCACTCTCGAAAACCTGCCAACTGTCACTTCAGCCAGGCTTTTGCAGACAACCCTACATCAGCGTTTTGCTTGGGTACTTATTTTGATATAAGATTTATTTATTAATCAAATCGTTGCAAATAACTAGTACCAACATACCTGTTATACCCGTTTATATCTGCCAACCCAGTGTTAGTAAAAAAAAAGACAACCCAACATTTACATATTCGGGCTTTATACTTTCGGTTGGTATTAAATTTATTCGTTAAGCTTAGTGCAACTTTTAATGAAAAGCCATTTTATAATGTATAACTTTTCCAGCCAATATACTCGCGATGTATTTAATAATATAGTAAACTGGATGTAAAATAATTTTCATCCAATAAACAGATGTGAAGGCCGCTTTTAATTCTAAAAGAAGATATTCGTTTTTCATATTGTTTTTCGGGGTCAAATATGGCATATTTTCTTCTTTCTAAAACATTAAATCGCTTGTATCTGAAAGACATAAAAACAGTTCGACCGGAACGAACAAACTGATTTTTGGAATTTGTCTAAGAATAATAAACAATTTTTGACGCGATTTTGGGATTTTTCAATAAATGAATGCCAAAATCCAAGTGAGAATATTTTTCCGAGCAGATACGAGGATACTTCTTGGAAAGTATTTTTACGAGCAAGCTGGAAAAGATATCAAAAAGTTTTCGTGGCAACCTTGATGAGTTATTATAATAATAATAGTATATTTTCTTGCATATTTAGATAGACCTTCTAAGAACAAGACATTTGATGTCATATGACATATGGTTTCGGTCGCCAAATGCTTAGACATTTAGTGAAATGTCTGAAAAAATGTTTGCAAAAATTCCAATATATACTATAGATTTTATGCTGATCCGAAAGAAATGCCAAACTATCTTTCTATTTATACAGGGTAAAAAGTATCTTTCCTCATAAATTTCAAATAGTAAACCATGTATATTTCTATATCATTAATACAGTCATTCATTATGAAATTGTTGTAATACATTCCAAGTACTTCTGTTGGTTCCCAGATGTTTGATCTAAGGTCCAATATTTTTTCACAACCACGTTGTTTCAGCATCTTGGGTAACACGATTCCCTATTGTGTTTACCCGATGGACCATAATATATCACTGTTGTTTAATAAAATCTACCAGATCTCAGAACTGTATCTAGAACGCTGGCGTCCTGATACCTGGTTAGTGAGAGGCCGACTGATCAATTGTCCAGTGAGATCTCCCGATCTAACGCCTCTCGACATCTTTATCTGGAGTCATGTAAAGGGACAGGTTTACCAGGAGAAATCGACAATTACCCGAGGACATGAAACATTGTTTAAGCATGCAAGATAATAATTTCAACACGCGTTTGGCCTTGTGTGCTATGCACCAGTCTCAGTCTGAGATTATTTCTTTGTGTTAACAAAAGCTGTTGTTTTGACTCAAAACCGTTTGGAAAAAAGTTGTAAAAGCTTGATATCAAGAAGAGTTCTCCAAAGAACGCTCTTCAACGACGTAGAAATATACAGAGTGGTCCATTCAAAACATTTTCTACAACACGAAGTTATGGAACACCCTGTATATACTGAAATCGTTTTAAAATATGCACTATACCCTATTCGTAGTCCATTTACGACCCAGCACAACAAAGATGCAGCGCGGCAAAGCGGCAGCCATCTAAGCGTTGCAATAGCTACCGATCATCCGGCCATAAAACTACGAACAAGTGCAGTATTCGACAGGTTAGAACTCAGGCTCGGGGTATCGCCGCCACGCGGACGCCGGCAGTAGCTGTTCATATTCGGTGCAACATAGCGTGTGTTTATTCGTTAGCATGTCGTCTACGGATACATCAGATGAAACTGAGAATACTTCTCCAAATGCTTTCTTCAGCCATGCTTCCTCTTGAGTAATGTCTCCTCCCCGAACACGTGACAGGGTAATTTGAACATTCAGAAAAAAGAAACTGTCCTTAACGTTTATAAGAGCGAAATTTTAGAGCATCCTGAAATCAAAATTCATGCTATTGAAAGACGCGTGGCGAACAAAACAGGCTTATGTCCTATGGCAATTTTCAACATTGTAAAAGAATATAAACACACAAGAGGCTGCATTACGCGAAGCTGTTGGATATAGTTGATAACTTTGAAATGCCATCAGACGCAAAATCCATCAATTCTTTGAAAGGCAGGAACTTCCCACCATAGACAAAGTATTGCAGGAGGTTAATAGTGATGAAGACTTACCTACTTTCAAAAGGAACATATTATATAGTTTACTCAAAGAACTTCATCTTGAGTATAGAAAACGGGGGGCAGAAATAGTATTTTGATGGACAGCAAAGAGATTATTTTCTGGAGAAGAAATTATTTAAAATCAATAAAGAAATACCGCGACCAGAGCAGGAAGATTTATTACTTGGATGAAACCTGCATAAATGCAAGACATACAAAACCTAAAGTATGGGCTGACTCTACAATTAAATCAGCAAGACAAGCCTTCTTAGATGGACTAACCACTGACCTAAAGAATCCGTCAGGTACACGTGTATCTAACGAATTCGTCATTTGTGTTGTAAATATGGTGACAAGTAGACTGAATCTATGAGCCCACGCTGAAAACTTAGCTACACTAAACTTAGTTATATTTGGTAGATTTGGAACGAACACCTGTTAGATACTCTACTTATATTATTATTAGTTTTCTTGAATATTATATGAAATAATTATTTCCAGCAAAAGGAAAACGATTTGTTATCTGTCACATTGGCAGTGAAGATGGCTTTTTGCCCACTGCCTTATGGGCATTTAAGTCAAAGAAAACGACCAACTACCATGAAGAAATGGACAGGAGTTCATTTAAACGATGGTTTGAAGAAATGCTCCCAAAGCTGACGACAGTGTCGTCATTGTACTTGATAATGCTGTATACCACACTAGAAAACCAGAAAAAATTTCCACAATGTCCACAAGAAAGGCAGAAACTCAAAAATGCCTCATATCAAAACACATTAGTTTCAATGAAAGTATGATCAAATCAGAACTTATCCATCTACCCAGGCAGCACAAATATAAACATAATCTTAATGTTATTGACGAAATGGCTAGAAACAAAATAAGACCGTTCTAAGGCTAGCCCCTTATCACTGCGACCTAAATCCCATTGAAATGAGTTGGGCATATATAAAAAAACTATGTGTGTTCAAACAATAGAACATTCAAATTTTCTGACCTGAAAAATTTATTTTCTAAAGCTGTCAACAGAGTGACGGAAAACCCTTGGAAAGATTGCATCCGTCACGTTCAAGAGACAATCGAAACAGATGTGGGATCTGGACAATATGATCGATATTCAAATCGAACCTGTAATAATTAATATTAACCATTCAGACGATGATTCAGGAACTTCCAGCGAATAAAGAATTGTGAAAAGCTTGTGCACTTCTTTATATAAAAATAATCATTTATTTTGTTAGATTATTCCAAGACCATTGAGGAAATTACGGACCTGTACAATCTCGCTTCTGGGCATACTGTATTTTGTCTGGGCGTAAATGGACTATGAATGGGGTATAGTAATACACCAAGCACCAAGGTCGACACAAAATCGAATTTTGATACCTTTACCAGTTTGCTCATAAAACTACTTTCCATTTTCTTTGGATGTTGTTACTATACCGTAAATTTGTATTTCTATTAGGTTTTATGAGAACAGATATCCGACTGTCAAGATGTAGTCCCTATCAAAATGAGCTATACGATTTGCTGATACACCCTGTGAACAGAAAATTTCTTACCTTTAACATGAAATACGAGCCTCAACCTGAATTGTACAATACTTACATGGACATGAAGGCAGAAGAAGATAGACGCAGAGAGGAATGCAAGTGAAAAAGAGATTAATAAACATCTTACAAATTAATAAGGAAGTTATTTGACATATTTACATATTATTATGAGCTGCTCGGCTGGTCGGAGTCTGGATCGCTGAGGACTTGATCTCGCATGAATACAACTCCTCACTTCCAACAGCTGCCGGGAAAAAAGGTTATTTGTTTAGGTCTAACAAGTACTTCTCACTCTATACAAGGCCCGTAAAAGACCTAGCGTCGATTGCTACACACAAGCTTGGGGTGCCGCCCAATCCATGCTCGTAGCTGTTCAGAGCATAGCTATCCGACTGAGTGATTACTCTTCTCTAGCAGCCAGTCTCGGAGTAGCGAAGGTGTCCCCTACGTCAACGGGCTTTGTTCTTCAGAGCTCTCCTCCATGATGCCGCCGCGCGATGTGCCTGCCATCATAACCGTGTCGAACTTTGTACATTCTGATCTGGTACGACCGCTCCTTTGTCCCTAGGGGGATAGAAATTGTGTCAAAATCTGCAAGAGGAGGCGTTACCTAGTTCTACCAATCTTAGTCGGTTCAAAAATCGGATTATCAAAGATTCTTTAATCTCCTCATGGCTGCTGTGGTTCCCTGGTATTTAGGCATCTGCCTAAGCGGATGCTTCAGTTTATGTTGCACATGTAGCAATAACAGTATGACCAACACATATAAAAAGGTTAGTGACCAGACGAGTGGCATAGAAATGGGGAATTATGATCCCTGTAGAAAAAAAATATTTTCTTACATTACTGAACACCTATTGTAATTTTGAATTTTCTAGTGGGCATAAATCGCCTATCTTGAAAAATTTTTTCATTAGGAGAACAATTGGTTTGAATAATTGTGGTGAAAATCCATATGAAAAAAGGCACGTTTCGTAAACTGGCGGGTTTTGACACAGTTGGAGTTTTGTTTTTCGTGTCCCGGAAACCGTCGTCTTACGTTTTCTATTTTCGCCGTGCTAGTCGGACTACGAATATTGTACCAAATTAGTAGATAAGATAATAAGGTATTTTTTGTAGATAAGACATTTATTTTGAGACGCTGGATAAATGTATAAGTATGTACATCAAGCTTTGATAGCTGTCCACAGTAGCAAGGAACCTCAGTGTTACTGCTAATCGATCTTTAACAGAAATTTAAACTCTAAAGTCTGTGTTTATTTTTGCAACTTTTCTGTCAGTTGATATAATAAGCTCTTCAAAATCAGAGCAAGAGATTATCAGAAAATTATGCAAAGATGTACGAAGTTTTCCATAAAATTTAATGTCATCATTTTGGATATCTTTCATCAGTTGTGCAGCAGAATCGTTTACTCTCCTAGATAAATGTGATCGAACCCAGTATCTGTGTAGGGGTCTTCTTCTTCTTCTAACAAACAATACCATTTTAATCATTAATAAATATATACGTACGGTTAAAGTGTTTATTTGGCTAGTTTATAGACACATATAGTTACAGACACCGCAATATTCTTATATAGGCATTTACCTTTTCCTGGGACTTCCGTCTCAACCAACCTTAACTGAGAATAAACAAAGCTTTTCCTCTAAACACGTTGGTTGGTTATTGAAGAAAAACCGTTATTTGACTTCCTCGCGACAACCATTGGAAAAGGACCGAAAACAAAACAAAAGTTTTAGGTTTGTTTTTGTGTTTCAAGTTGTCTCCTTTAGGAGAGTATACTCCCATCTCAGCATAGCTTCATTTGAATAATGGGTATGCCGTTTTTTGGATGTTATTTTCTCTTGTCTTTGTCTTATGAATCATATACAGTATATATACTGGAATTAGCCCCATAGCTACAATGGAAATAACACGAAGGACCAAATACAGGTCAGAGTAAAGGTATGGTCGAATATATGGTGGTTAGTGTGGAGCGGTATCGCGCTTGACAGATTTTCAAACGAGACTAATGCCGACCTTTCCGGTATGATTTCACTCAACACGCTTGTCGGGTTACCAACGAGTATTTCTGTTATAATACGGAAGTAAAATCAGCATAATAGCATAATCCTTTACTACATGGCGCAATAATCCACTGTAACGGAATATAGAAGCGTATGCTATAAATACAGGGTGACTCGAAAGTATTGACTTTCCTGTTCAGAAACAGTTGTAACAACTCAAGATACTGCTTTCATCAGTCCAACCATTGACGCCCAACCGTGGACAGCTGCTTCGTGCTTTTTAGCGACTCATCAACACGGTCTAGGCTTAGTCTCAGGTAGGACAACGAGTGAAACCGTATCAACTATCTTCTATCTAACGTATAAGATCTGTCCATATAAGATAGTTCAGAGTGCCCGTCTATTACTAGAATCGATCACTACGAGAGTCAGCATGAGCCATCGGTTGGAACTGTAAGGATCTCAGTTCGCGTTTGATAGTCCTATCATTACTGTAACCGGCAGATGATGTCGATTCTGGCGGTATAGTAGATGTGGTTTATTCGGTACTATTCTCTATATCAGTAAGGACTTCAGGAGTTAAACATTAGATTGAACTTTAACTTATATACTGACTATTTTCAGACTTCATATCGCTTGTTAATAAAAAAGGCGTCGGTTAGGTTGACTTTGCTCGCCGTCATCAGTTCATAAAGGATTATGTTCAGCACAAGTTGGACCCCACCGAAATAAGACAGCGCCACTGACCTTATATCCTGGATAGAAGATAGTTGTTATGCTTTCGGTCTTTGTCCCAACGACCAGGTTTAGACCACGCTGAATAGTTGAGAAAAAAGCAAGGAACAGCTGTCCATGGTTGACTGTCTTTGGTCGGGCGGACCAAAGCAGCGTGTTTAAGTTAGACCTTCTGAAAAAAAGTTACAAACATGTATAACAGAGAAATGTCAATGTATGACATATCTTCCAATATGAAATCCTTAAGACAAAATGAACTTGATAGCGTAGGACCAGATATGACAAAACACTATAAAGTCAGGAAAAAAATAAAACGTTTATAGGAAAATTCGATTTTTTCCGTCTCTCTCCGGAAGTACTTTGAATGTCTTTCCTTGTTCTAAGCTACATTTTTTTAGTTACCTAAATACATAACTTTACCCTCATTTAAGCGACCTCGTGACTCTTACTATTTCCGAGATCCTAATGGTTGAGCGTCGAATTTGAAACACCGAGTATAGGCAAAATGTATCTGCAAGAGATATACGTATTCTGACACTTGACACGTCCATTATCAAATCGATATCGCGCCATCTAAAATGAATGGAACTCGTCCATCAAGTAATTATAAATTCTATCATAATTCCAATTTGATAACGCCATGATGATGATGATTATTTTGAGGGACATTGTAATTTCCTGGTTGATCGATACTCAGCCCGTCTGTCTGTTTGCTGTTCGTCCCTTTTGCCCTCTGCTCATTAATAAGGATGGCTTATAGTCATAACCAAAGACCTTGCTAATGCTAGAAGGGGTAAACTTGAGCAATCAATGTAGCAGTGTGGTTTAAAAGAAACGGAAAATCATTGGAGGGCCAATAAATCAAATGAAAATGCAGTATTTTTTTAACGTCTGTTAAATCTAGAGAACAACACCTCTCGAAAATAATATAATAACGATATGATTGTCCGATGTACGTATTAGGTTGTGGTAAATCTGCTAGCAGTCAGATGCAGAGAATGTAAATACCTGGAACGCAGTTGCGTGAAAATATTAATTTCCTTTCTTCCGGGCCCTTGTATTAGTGGTAGGTGAATATTAATGATCATGCAGATTCCCTCAAACTTCTCGACGTCTCAGGGAAAATATTTTTAACATCCCTTTTTTACGACGCTTCTCAGAATCTCCGCCTTCTTGGTCTTTTGACACCCCCTCGATTTTTTTGACATGCTGCTTTTTTCTACATTACGTAGGTTATTCTACAAGATGTTAACTTAGCACTTAGTTGTACGTGTTGCCTAAACGTGATGAGGCTTGTTATCAATCTTTGGCTCTGATGTGATATAAAATCTGCTTTTGAGATGGCATTACTAAAGGTCTAAGCTGTAAGTTGTATGTGTTGATGATAATTACATTGGGCTCTTGTCTCAAATACACTTAATTGAGATTCAAACCTAGAAATTAGTTGCGCATCTACATAGAGAGATAAGAAATAATTATATTCACTATACACTGTCGAATTACAAGCCATATACATGCTAACAGTAATTACACACAACGCGGGTGCGGTGATGATTTCCCGTAATTCTCCTCAGTTTTTCGTAATTTATAACTTTGAACATAACCTCTCTTCAGAAAGCACAACATATAAATAACCCTTCATATTCGGCTTATTCAGTAATGATTTGCTCACACAGCAAATACTACTGATTTTATACACATGCGGATAAATACACATAATCATCCAGATGCGATCTTGCTATTCAACCAACTTTCTTCTCAGAGATAAAAAACTACCGACCCGGATCACTCAGCCTCTCAAAACTATGCAACCATTAATGCATAGTATAGTTGAGTGATTCCTCCATATATGGATGTTCACAACTACCTAGTCTTCAGGTTGACATCTTATAAGTTTTTTTGACGTTTTATAGGTTTTTTACATGATACCCGTGCCGCACGGTCAAAAAAACCTATAAGATGTCATTTTGCAGACTAGATAGTTTTTAGGGCGCAAACAGTCATACTCGACTAAACTACACGAATTGTTGGTGTTTTGTGTGGCAGAGTGGTCTGTAGTTTTCATCTCTGAGAAGAAAGTTGGTTGAATAGCATGATCGCATCGGGATGATTATGTGTATTGGTCTGCACGTGTATAAAATCAGTGATATTTGTTGTGTGAGAAAATCATTACTGAATATGCTGCCAATGAAGTATATCTATTAGCTGTTGCCGATGGGTTATTTATATGTTGTCCTTTCTGAAGACAGGTTATGTTCAAAGTTATACATTACGAAAAACTTTGAGGAGAATTACGGGTAATCATCACCACGCCCGCGTTGTGTGTAATAACTGTTAGCATGTATATGGCTTGTGACAGTGTACAGCGAATATGATTATTTCTAATCTCTCTCATTTTTTAAATTCAGCAAATTTGCATTATGTACTT